AGCTGGGACACCCATGTATGGATTCGGACACGGCAGCTTGCCAGGTAACTCTGGCCCACTCTCTCAGCCTAACGTACCTCATGGGGTTGCTATGAGGATAAGATGGAGGAGGGGAGAAATATGCACACTGCCCGGAACTCCTTGGAGGAGTACCAGCACAAAAAATTATTAAAGAAATACATAAACGACTGTCAGAGCACCAGTTCCCCTAGCTCAGTATTGTCTCCAAGGGATGGCCCTCAAACAGAGAAAGACTCTTTCCAACACCAGAGATCCTTTAAGATGAGATATCAGGGACTGAACCTGGGGTCTTCTTAATCTACCTCTAAGTCTTCCAACTTGTAAGCCTGTTCAGGACATCTTCTGCCTACATTTCGGACACCAGGGGTACGGTCACACACGTCAGATAAGACGGGGGGAAGTGAGACTATTTCCTCTGGAGGAATTTGACCCGCAGTTGCACGGTTACACCTCCCTTTGAAGCTGCGAGTACAGCCCATCCGTGTGTGTTTGGAAGGAGGAGGAGGAGGAGATGGGATTTATACCCTGCCCTTCACTATCCGAAGTCCGAGAGCAGCTTATAATCTCTTTTCCCTTCATCTCCCCATAACAGACACCCTGTGAGGAAGGTGAGGCTGAGAGAGCTCTGAGAGAACCGCTCGTTAGCGAACAGCTCCAAAAGAACTTATGACTGACCCAAGGTCACACCAGCAGCTGCATGTGGGGAATCAAACCTGGTTCTCCCAGGAGCAGGCAACTCACAGAAACTCATGAAGGAGTGCTATCAAAAGGGCCAAGATAATCATTAGAACTAGGGATAGGAAGAACAACCACAAAATTGGATAGGAGGAACCACCGTAAAACTGGAGCACACCTAAAAAAGAGGGCAACAAAAAACTGGCAAAATGCTTGGGGAAAAACAGTGGCTTGAGTCCAGGCTACCTTTTCTACAAGTGCCAGGACTTGCACCTCTGCAAGGACTTCCACCTGTGGAGCATCATTTCCTCCCTTTCTGGGGCCTGAAATGGTCACCGGAACGCTGTTGTGTGTTTGGGTGTCCCCTCTCCACCAGGATTCCACGGGGCGTTTCCGACAGTCATGGATGGGGAGAGGTGGGAAGCCTTGGAAGAGTTAGTCTGGACCCACCCGTATGTTTATGCCTTGACCAATGGACTGATTACACAAAAAGCAGCTTTGGTACATTTGTGTGTATTTGTGTGTGGGCATACACACACACACGAGTCTGAATGGTTTATTCTGAGAGCTTCCTTTCATGCAAATGTGACTCTCATCCATTTTTGATGGAGAAAGGCTAAGGAAAATGTAACCATGAGCAATGCAAAGGCTTATCAAGTAAAGATCCCACGGATATGGAAGAGTTCCATCCTATATTTCATGGTCAAGCACTCCTTTGAAGTTCCCTCTTGATTTCTACAGAGCAAGCACACACAGACACAGACACAGACACACACACACTCTGAAGCACTCAGTTTCCCTGGCAAGACCCCCCCCAGGCACTCCCCCCCTTCCCTAGTTTAAAATACTTCAAATGGAATGGCCATTTCATTACACACAATTTCCATTTAACTCTCAAAACACCGAGAGGAGAAATATCCATCCCAGCTGGGCTCCCAGCTCAACTTCTGAGCCATGGACTTTATTCCTTCAATTTATGCGTCAGCAATGCCACTGGAGCTTCCTTTGCAGCAAACCTAATTATTTCAGGTCAAAGAATAAAGGACTTCAGCTAAGGAGTGGCCCTGAACATTTCCTCAGTTTTGTAGAGCGGAATGAATTAATTTTAAAGAACAGGCCATGCCGAGGCAGAAGATTCCGACAGTTTCTATTTGATTTACGAAGCTTTCATACGGAGATTGATTGGGATTCATATTGCGTAACAGAAAAGTATATTTCTTTCTACATTCACTTCATTTAAATTAGGGTTCAGTGAGGTGGAGCTCTGTATTTGGATGTACAGATGAAGGCAGTCTCTGAACACTTTGGGAGATAGCCAAGGTATTCAGGTAGTCAGACGCTCAATTAAACAATATAAATATTTACTTAAGGTTTACATTTAGACAGGTTTACATTTTGAGGTTTATAAAAATGATCAGGGGCACAAAGAACGGACAGGGAGGACATTCCCCCCGCCCTTTCATTATGTTACAACTTGGGGCACCCAATGGAATTAATTATTGGTACACTCGGGGCAGACAAAACGCTTTTTCACACTGGGCCTAATAAACCTGTGGAATTCATTACTCCAAAATGAGATGAAGGCAGCTAGCTTAGGGTCAAAAAACAATCCAACACTGGAAGTTCTAAGAGATCTCTAATGTTGTTGTTTTTGACTGCTTAATAGCCACAAGTGCGGGAGGGGAATCATTTCAGGTGTTGCATGGGGAAAGATTTTTCACTCTCCCGACTATATACATGGTTCCCAACCAGAAATGGCTCTCCATAGCTATTTGCCCGTATACTGAAAACATACAGTTTATCTGCATGCCTGTGTGTTTGCTTCAACTCTGATGTATTATGTTATGGCCTATGGCTAAGACAATAAACTTATACACATAAGAACATAAGAGAAGCCAATGTTGGGTCAGGCCAATGGCCCATCCAGTCCAACACTCTGTCACACAGTGGCCAAAAATACCAGGTGCCATCAGGAGGTCCAGCAGTAGGGCCAGGACACTAGAAGCCCTCCCACTGTTGACCCCCTCCAAGCACCAAGAATACATTATGATATTGGCTGATCTGTTTTCAATACCCTTCCTAATAATCCCCAGCATAGCATTGGCCTTTTTTATTGCAAGCACGCACTGTCCCGACATTTTCAGTGAGTTATCTACTATGACTCCAAGATCTCTCTCTTGGTCAGTCTCTGCCAGTTCGGACCCCATCAACTTGTCTTTATAGTTAGGATTTTTGGCTCCAATGTGCATCACCTTGCACTTGGCCACACTGAACCCCATTTGCCACATTGACGCCCACTGGCCCATCCTTGACAGATCCCTTTGGAATGCCTCACAATCCTCCCTGGTTTTCACCACCCTGAACACTGTTACAAAATAGCAGCTCCAAGGGACATGAGATCATGGTGGAGGGGTTAATACCTCGATCTGACTGGAGACCTTTCATGGCTACCACTGGGCAGTTAAAAACGTTTTGGGGCTGTATAGAAATATTGTTTCTAAAGTCTCATGCCTCTTCCTGTGATGACATTCTGTGTGGTTTTTTTCCTGCTACAGGTCAGATGGCCTAGTGTGATTTCTGTCACTTGACCAGATGGCTGAGCCACTAAATAGCCATGCCATATAATCATGCCTGATACCCACATTCCTTAACACCTCTCTGCTGAGGACCAGACTTTAAGGCTCCTATTGTATGGCCTACATGGGTCATGTCACGTATGCAATGGAGAAAGCTGGAAGTTGGATCACCTGACTGCAGGCAGGGCCTCTAACTTCTTAGCCAATCCCTACACACCTGATGTGGAAGCTATGGCAACCAGAAATTGGGCACACACCCCTGCCGCTCATGATTGGCTGATGGCCTCAGCTGATGGTGACTGGCATGGGGTATAACTCCGTGGTTCTTTAGGGAAGAGTTTTCTTGCTCTCTTGCTCTTGCTACTGGGATCCTGACTTTTGAAACAAAGAGTTTCTTTGTGAACTGATTGCCGGTTGCCAAGCCCTCTGTTATTGTGGATCTGTATCTCTGAGCAGTCCTGGACTATATACCTCCACAAGATGGGATTTCTCTTCCAAATCCCTTGGTGCCAACCTGTACTGTTATGCAATGGGCACTCTTGGACTATCTGATGCTACACCTAACTCGGTAACTATGATTATTATGAATGTGCAATAAGGGGAAATAGCCATAGGTTGTTATTATTTTTGTATCCTCTATAGTCTCTTGTTATGCTTTGCACTGAATAAAGATCATTCATATTTGTAATTGTCTCTGATGCGGTAATTGAACTCCAGGGCTAAATCTTGTGTCTAAGCTGACCACAGAGCTACCACTGTGAGAGTAATTGTGTGCACCTCTGAGTTAGAGTTGCTGTGTTAAGTCCCAGATGCCAGCTGAGAGATTGAATCTCTGCTCTTAGGCTGGGTGGGGACCCCTTTGAAGAGATTCTGGTGGAAAACTGTTGTGAATTCTAGAGAGAGTACAGACTGTCTTCTGGATTTTGTTTCATGTGCTTAGGGTTCCCTCTCACCCCTGGACTGGGCTGAGTGGGTTTAATGCAGCTTCTTACCTGGATTGACCATCATCTTGTAGAAAACTGGATTAAGAACATTCCTAGAGGATAGATGTATTCCTGACTGTTAATATTCACAGCCAAATAAAACTTTTGTTTACAGAACCAGTAGACCTCCAAGTACCAGATGTTGTGGGGGGATGGACAACCACAGGGAACTACCACCATCATTGTACCCTGTTTGTGAAGTTCCTAAGATACCCATGCATAGCATGGTTAGAAACAGGGAGTTGGACTTGATGGTCCCTAGTCTGATCTAGCAAAGTAGGTGCTCTTACAACAGCACACCATTATATAGAATGCAGAAGACTCAGAAGGCTAGGAGTTCCAGGAAATACAGAGGTTTGGATAGGATGGAAGTGTTAGGACTCACATTCACAAAGCCTCTTGAGTTAGTGACCTGGGGGGGGATTTGTTCTGAGAGTCCTCATTGAACTCTGGGCAGAGGGGAGAACTCAGCTGCAGAGAGACCAACCATGTATCCTAGGAAGCATTCTTGGATCAATTGGCCAGATTGGACTGGGTGACTCTCCCTGACCTCACTGAAAGGTTTGGGGTCAAGTCAGGCTTGCATGCTAAAGAACCTGGATGTTTGTTCTTGCTAACAAGACAGATGGCTTTTCCCTGTAGCTCTCAGACAAGATGCAGGCCTGACAGCAAGGAAGAAATCAATGTGTTTCTCCCTTTTGGGAGAAAATTTTTAGAAGTAACTTCATGTAAGATTAACTCTTACCTGTTGCACTATGGTTGTTAGTTCCAGGCACAGTTGAACAATGTTATTTTTCAGCAGAGAGTATTCTGTCACACTGACAAATGGAGACCTATCAAGGAGGAATTTAAAAAGTTATGGGCATTCTCATTCACAATGCCTGCAAAGCAGACTAACACACGGCAATGAATCTGCACTATTCATATTTCCCAAAAACAGACTATGATCAATGAATGCATACGTACCATTTTTTAAAAAAACTTTATGCAGTGTTGATGTTCAACTGTTTATAGCCCAAAAGGAAAACAAACGTTTTTGGCTTCACTCACCTTCGTTCATGCGACATAATAACTGCACTGGTACTAAGCACAAAGCTCTAGGCAGAAGTTGGAAGATAGGTCTAAATAGGTTTTAGGACCTTACTTAGGTACAATTAAGGAAGACAGGAAAACAAATCTTCCAAGCATTTTTAAAACGGGAACAGCAGCTGTGTGGGGAACAAAGGACCTAATCATACATTAAAAAGTCCTTGTGTCCTTAGGGGTCCCAGTGACAGTGACCATTCCCCAGGTAGGGCAGGGGAATCCCCCACTTGTGTGGGCTCCTGCCTGCCGCCGGCCTACATCTTTCCCCCATGCTATTATCCTGACCTGGAATGGCCTTGAGGCTGCTATTTGCCCTACGGGAGAATCCGATATGTTGCTCATCAATACATGCAAGTTTCCTTAATGGGGCAAACAGCTTTTCCCAAGGGCCATTTCGGGTCAGGGAAACAGCATGGAGGGAGCACTTGAGACCCCTGTCTCGACAGGACCTGCAGCAGACATGTGAGGGTCATGAGGGCTTTGTAACATGCAGTTAGGTCCTCCTTAGTATGAATCAGGGTCATGAAAGGAGGAACAAAGGGGCTAACTCTTCTCCACCTGCTCTTCGGCTGTTAAGCCTGCAAGTGGAGAAAGTCAAGCACATGTCATTTGCTTATATTCTTTCCATGGCTAACGGTGTGTGTGTGTGTTAAGGGGTTAAGCTTTGGTTGGCAAACTGCACGGAAGCGAAGTGCTAAACCCTTGTCCCTGCTCATACACAAAGCCTCAATCAAGCAGCCGCTTCTGTTTTTAAACCCCGGGAAGAACTGACCTTTCAGCATCTTGTCTATTCATCCGGCCCTTGGACTCAGATCTCTAAGGGTCAGATCCGGACCAAACGGCATGCATTTTGCATTTCTTTATTTACATCCCGCTTTTCTCCCTAGGTGGGATGCACAGAGGCTTAGGACATCCTCCTCCCCTCCATTTCTTCACAACAACAACCCTGTGAGGTAGGTCAGGCTGGGAGCATGTGACAGGCCCAAGGTCACCCACTGAGTGGGGATTCAGACCCAGATCTCCCAGGATCCTAGTCCAACACTGTAGCCACTACACCATACCGGCCCTCAACTTGCAGTCTCCCCCAATGCCCCTTCTCACTGCAGATCCCCTTGTGTCTTTCCCCTCTCCTGGCAACAGCAGCATTCCATGGGGATCAGTGGGCTGCCGTGGGAGAGGTTACATGCGGTGGCTCAAGTGGTTAAGACGCTGAACTGCAGGCTGTGGAAGGTCAGTAGTTCAGCAGTTCGAGACCCGAGTGTGCCGCATGATGGAGTGAGCTCCCATCTCTAGTTCCAGATCCTGCCAACCTAGCCGTTCGAAAGCAAGAAATTGCAAGTGGATAAATAGGTACCACTTCGGTGGGAAGGTAACAGCATTCCGTGCGCCTTGGTGTTTAGTCATTCCGGCCACATGACCACGGAAACGTCTTCGGACAACGCTGGCTCTTCGGCTTTCAAACAGAGATGAGCACCGCAACCCAAGAGTCAGATTCGACTGGCTTTCAAGCAAGGGAACCTTTACCTTTACCTAGTGGAGAATTTAGTCTGGATTCATATCTGTGTAGATCCAGGTAATGCGGAGATTGGAGTTCCATGGAAGCACCACTACCAGGGCATGCACACGCACACTCCTGCCTGATGCTCAGGCTTGGTCTACATCCACAGCAGAATTGGGTGGGAATGGAATTCCGTGATGGTCAGATGAGGTGAACCATTTCAGACTACAGGGGAAGGAACTGTATCTTTGAAATGTTCCAAAGAAAGAACGAAAGAATAAAAGAACGCTTCCAAGCAAGCAGCGAACGGGTACAGAATATTCATAACAATCCCCGTCTCTCTATTCCCCAAAGGATTTTTAAAAGCCGTTTTACTTGAAGGAAATATTTGTGACCTCCTGTGGGAACAGCACTGAGAGGCAGGATAGAAATACTGTCAGCAAACAAAAGTACAGCAGAGAAATAGCCAATCTAACTTCTGTCACCTGGACATCTAGAGCTTATCCCAAGTCAGACCAGTGGCCTATCAAGGTCAGTCTCATCTATTCTGAGTGACAGAAGCCTTCCAGGGTCTCAGATGTGGGTCTTTGCTATTGCTTGCTACCTGATCCTTTCAGGGGGAAATACTGAAGATTGAGCCGGAGACCTTCTCCACACAAAGTGGCGGTCTACCACCGAGCCACAGCCCCTGGCCCCAATAGACCAGCTTGGTTTCTTTACTCCCAAGGTTTGTTGGTTTGTTTTTTTTAATGCAGCAGAGAATTCAAAGACAGCATCCCTCCACTTACAGCCAAAGTTGGATTCAGAATCTCAGTCAGCATGGCTGGCAAAGATCTATGACGGAGTCCTGGGAGACTCATCTCCAGCACAGGCCTAAACAGCACTTCGGCTTGTAAAGCTCTTTAAGCTTGCCAGACTCTTTAGGGTTGTAAGACGCAGAGTCAGGAATGAAAGACCCATCCTAAAATTTATGTCTGCCCTGACCAAGGGGGGGGGAACACCTAATTTCCCCCCGAATTGATAAATGACCATTCGGCTTCTGTGCTCAATTACTCCTTGTCAACTCTGTTGAAGAACAGATAAAACTGTCCCCTCAGAGGCCCCGTCACACGGCAAAGTTGCCGTGGGAGAGGCACAGAAGGTGGGTGGATTATCTGGGCGCGATCACACCCCAACATCTGGGAAGTGGAGTGCACCCGTGGCTTACCGCCGACAATGCGGATTTAAAAACTAGTACCTCCAAGGTACTAGTAAACGTTTGCCATGGGCTGCCTCCAGACCCCCCTGGTGTGATTGCGCCAGCACGCGGCATTCCCCTCCAGTCCCTCGTTTACCCGCTGGAGCTGAGGGAAGGACCCGTGCTGTGCCGCCGGTGCGTCTGATCGCGTAATCGCGGATCAAACTGCACCGGGGCAATTAGCCATGCCTCCCCCCCACGATACCTGGCCCGTGTGCCCGGGGCCTATGTCACCTTTCCACGACATGCAAATCTGTCTGCTTCAGGTAGGTCTGAATTCCTCTCAGGCAGGGTGTTACTGACACTACTTCCCCAATTTGGGGAAGCATTTTTTTTTTGTGAAGAAAAAAGTATAGGCTAAAAGTATCCCTTTTTAGCAATCTTTGGGAGGGGAATGTAATTCCCTTCACCTGCCCTCACTCAGTTACCCTCAGTTGGCCAGGTTACCAAGCACAAATCTAATTTGTTGTGCTTTGATTTGCTGGCAGCCGTCATTTCACACATAGCTTTATGATAACATTCCATTCTTGATGTGGTGCATCTTTGGGTGAAGGTCCCCACGTGATGGAGGAAGCCATGACAGTTAGATAGGAAAAAGTGGCAGAGAAGGAAATGGCGTTCAGGAAAATAAGGGTGTCAAAGAAGACAACACAAAGATGAATCTTGTCTGCATTGTCTTAGTTTCCCATCCCCACTCAGATTGCTAGTTTCTACCCAAAACTGAAACAGGTGAATATTTAACACCACCCTAATGTCAAGCAACATTCGATAGAGGCAAAAGTATTCCAGATTTTACAACCCACTCCTACGGGACACCGTGTTCACTGTCACCTCACATGAGGACAAATTTACAACAGTTGAATGTTATAACAACAGAATGTTGTAGGGGGAGGGGAATTTAATATCTCAAAAAGGTTAAAAACTAAATTACCTATCCAGCCAGGCAAGCAAGTTCTTGGCAGCACCAATCAGGTCAACAACAGAGGTAAGAAAATCATTTGGCAGTCTTCGGGAGGCCCTGCCATCGTAATGGCCGCTCCTCCTTCTACCCGTTATGAAGTTCTGAAGGTTTTTGGCCGAGGCGTTCAACTTGTGAGAGAGCGTTCGCAGGTTCTCCGTCTCCAATCCATAATTCTGAAAGCAAACAAGAAGTTTGGTACAGTTTTGAAGCAGGACACCAAATGAATGCAAACATTTAAAACCACCTCTCTGCCCATTGCTTGCCATCTGAGCAATGCCATGATGGTTAACATCTGTGAAAGTGGACACTGACTTTGAGGTGGGAAGAGATCATGTCTGCCCCCCCCCCTGCAAAGACCCAAGTACTAATTTGGAAGACGAAACCAGATCCTCGATACTGCTCTTGGGCATTTGCAGCCCAGCTCAGGAAGGAGCAGGCAAGAAAAAATAAAGCAGTATTGGACCCAGAGATCAGAAACCCAGACCACTCTAACACTCTGTGGAACATCCCCATGAGGATGCTACATTAATCCAATCTGCCTCGCCTGAGATAGCCAAAAAACAAACAGGAGAACATAAGAACATAAGAGAAGCCAACGTTGAATCAGGCCAGTGGCCCATCCAGTCCACCAGTCTGTCACACAGTGGCCAAAAATACCAGGTGCCATCAGGAGGTCCAGCAGTGGGGCCAGGACACTAGAAGCCCTCCCACTGTTGCCCACTGTTGCCCCCCCCCAAGCACAAGAATACAGAGCATCACTTGCCCCAGACTGAGAGTTCCTATCTATACCTTGTGGCTAATAGCCACTGATGGACCTCTGCTCCAAACAAAACACCTGCCAGGAAACCACAGAGAGCTGGAGCAGTGCTGGACTCCAGACTAGAGAGAAGGTACTAATCCATTCCTCAACAGTTGGGTATTGGGGCCTTCGACAAGATTCAAGATGTTGACGTAAGTTGCCTGCCTTGGAGTTCTCCATGTTCCTCCTGCTAGCTACCTTGTAGTGATACTTCTGCACATCAGTTGTCCACGCAGCCATTCTAATGATCTGTTCTCAGGCTATTCTTCTGTCCATCCCAGACAACTCCAGGCTGTAGTCAACAGCCTTTTCCCTAACCTCCCAATGTACAAGCAGCCAAGAAGGACAACTGTCCATTAATTCATCCCCCTCTGGATACCCTGGGAGCATGCCAACTTCTTATCAAGAAAGGCCATTATCACTATCAGGTACCGAAAAAGCAAAACCACCTCTAGAGCTGCTGCAATTCGAATTGGCCAATGCAGTCCCTCTCTCTGCCAGTCAGTTCCCAAGTGCTGGATAAAACAGACCTCTCTTTTGTCAGTTTTGGCCATCAGGTGGCAAGCATCGCATCCTCACCTGTTGTGTTAACAAGATGTAGAACTTGTAGGTATGCCAAAACACATGGAATGGGCCAAAGGGAACCAGGTGGTGGTGGTGGAGAGATGATAAAATCCACATCGGTTGGAAACTAGATGGAGAATAGGGTTGCCAGCCTCTGGGTCCCGCCTGGAGATCCCCCAGAATTACAATTCATCTCCAGATGACTCAGTTCCCCTAGAGAAAATGGCTGCTTTGGAGGTTGGACTCTATGGCATTACACCCCTGCCCTCTCTAGGCTCCACCCCCCCCCCAAAAAAAAATCTCCAGGAATCTCCTAACCCAGAGCGGACAAAGCTAATGGAGAAAGACTTGAAGCTGAGTGACCCCCACCTCAACCTGGCCCCATGGGTCAGACCACATCTGATTACTTCTCTGAGGCCCTTTAAATGTTACTGTCTGCGGGAACCACTTCCCTGCAAGTGGCTTCCACTTTTTATTCTATTTTGTTACATCATTTGCACCCTGCCTTTCTACCCAGTGGGGACCCAAAGCAGCTTACATCTGTCTCCTCTGTTTTATCCTTACCCTGCGAGGTAGGTTAGGCTGAGAGAGCGTGACTGGCCCAAGGTCACCCAGTGAGCTTCCATGGCATGAGCGGGGATTCGACACTCTTGACCACTACACCACACTGGCTCTCGGACGGGGTAACGTTTAAAATGACACAATCCCATGGGCAGGCGAATTGTGCGGGATTTTCCCAAGAAATCAGTAGCCCCATCTCCCAAGTCTGAAAGACAGGGAAAGAACTCCGCCCTCTCTCCCCCCCAATGGACATCAGCACCCAAAGGGCATCAACTGTCCACAGCATCCTCTCTCCACAAGGAAGACGATCCCATGAGCAGACTGGAAGCAGGTTGCCAACAAACATCCTGCAAGGTCTTCACTTCCTTTCCTTTCATTTATTAGCTTCATTGACCAGAGTTCTTAAGCCAAATGTACAAACAGCTACTATAAAACACATTAAGGTCTTCACTTCTTGCATTTGTGCTCCAAGTCTACCCGTGTATATATGGGGTGGGCTTTGTGGGCACGGACAATAGTAGGAAAACTGTAAGTGGGAGCCAAGATGGTGATCAGACCCATCAGCTCAGCTGTTCAATCCTTGCAAGCAGGGAACCTACGCTGGGAAGGAATACAGCATATAACCCCCACCCCAGATGAGAAAAGCCTACGATCGCAACAATGTCTGTCTGAAATGCTCCTGCTCTTTAACGACTGTTTTATATTTATATTTCATGGGCCAGGTGTGCGTATCTTCACTCTTTGCCATTTAGAAAGAGAGTAGGATTATTCACAACAAAAGGGCAATGTGCTTACACGAAATATCATTTTTTCTGCGGCTCAAAAGTCACTCTTGATACCGTAATCTGAACTTCCTTTTTAAAAAAGACATCTAAACAGGAACACTATGTTGTTGGGGTTTTTTTTTTTAAAAAAAATCTGTTTATGACCAGCAATATGGAAAAAAGAGGGTCATTTCCTACCAGGAACATTCTGACATCTTTTAAGAATCAAAAGGCTCAGAGGAAGCATTTATAAAAAGCTGTAAACCAAGATAGAAGTCTCAGCTTCCTGGCTGACAAAGTAAATTGAAAGTAGCTGAGTTCTGTCCCTTCTGCCCACCTCTCCGCCACACACACTGTAACCCTCTGGGCAGAGAAGTACAGACAAGGCCAACATTAAGCATTAGATGAAGCAGGCTATAGAACGTCCTCTCCTCTTTGCCGCTCCCGTTCCACCAATATTCAAATGTTAACTTATAAACTTTTATTTCGATGGTATATGACCCCGCATCAGCCGCATGGCATTAACCCCGCGATCTTGGACAGATGATGGAAAAATTGTGGGGGCCGTGGCACCTATATTCATTGCTGGTGGGAGTGTCCCAAGGTTCAGGCCTTCTGGAGAGAAGTCAATGCCCAAATACTTTTAATTACAGGTTGCGCCCTCCAACTACAACCCTCCTTGTTCCTTTTGAATCATTGGAGCCATCCTGCCCCCAATGGGCTTATGAAAGAGTTGACAGAATTGTGTCTTGCGGCCGCTAGGAATGTTATTGCATTTCATTGGAAATCTAAGAAGACGCTGCTATTGAGCGACTGGTATCTGAAATTGTGGGACTTCTTTTTACAGGACAAAGTTTCCACTAGCATCGTACGATCTGAAAATCAACCCGTTCCTGCCAATCTTCAAGAAAAATGGATGCCCCTCTTAGAAGCATCAGCAGCACATAAAATCGACACCTCCCTGTTTGCCCTGCATAAATACCAGGATTTGCTTTCTTATTTTTAACTTATATTTAATTAAAAAAACAGGCTATAGAACAGGGCCCATTGATAGGGATGCCAGCCTCCAGGTGGGACCTGGGGATCCCTTGGAAGTAGAGCTCATCACCAGACTACAGAGATCACTTCCCCTGGAGAAAATGGATCCTTTGGAGGGTGGACACTATGGCATTGTGTCCTACAGAGGTCCCTGTCCTTCCCAGGCTCCAATCTCCAGGAGTTTCCCAACCTGGATCTGGCAACCCCCATGACCATCTCCTGCTGATGGCCAAGGGGAACCTGGCAACACTACGCACCAAGCCAGATTGCCGTACTGTCAATATGTAAAAAAGTGAAATCATTAGTAGTTTTGGAATACGCTGATGACACCCAGTTCTACATTTAATTATCTGAATCATCTGGTGACTCTGTAGAGTCTCAGAACCCATGCCTGACTGCTGTAGTTGAACGGCTTAGGGTAAACAAGCTGAAACTCAACCCTGATAAGAAGGAAGTAAAGTTGATGGGGGGAGGCTGAGAACCCTGAAGGATACTGGGCTCCTGACATCTGATGGATCCAGTTGCCTCTTGCTGACTTGGTTAAGAGACTAGGGTTGATTCTCGATTCAGCTTTATTGTTGGAGAAGAAAGGTGACCCAGCCGCAAAAAAGAAGAAGAAGAAGGCATTCTACTAATTCCATTTAGCTTGGAAGATGGCCTCCTACCCTGACTTGGCTGCCCTGGCCACATGAATCCATGCTATGGTTACCCTTAAGGCCTGACTGCCATAATGCACTGCCCTTAAAGATGACTCAGAAACTCCATTTGGTACAGAATACAGAAGTTCAGCTACTATCAGGGCCTAAGTTGAATCTGCACATTGCTCCTATTCTGCAAATGCTCCGTTGGTACCAGGATCCATTCAGTGTTCTATTCCCTACAAAGCCCTTACTGGCATATGTGCAGGACTGCCTCTCCTGCTATTTTCCACTGCAATAGCAGAGCAAAGCCTTTTGAAGATTCTATGCTGTAAACACCTCAAATGAACAACTGCATGTTCATGTGTGCTCTCTGTGGTAGCCTCCTTACGGAATGGTCTGCTTGAGGCTTTTAGGAAGCCCCCCCCCCCAATCATTTCACAAAATGTGGGAAACAGAATTGTCCAGGTGGGCATTCTTGTAGAGGAGTCAGAGCTGTGAGCAGTGATGTAACAGATCAGCTTGGGAGGTGACCTCCATTAAGGATAATGTGTTCTTTCTTCCAATCCCATCCCCAATGCATTATGCTGTTTTGCTAGGGATCTTTGCCATTAGACTCAAATGTTAACATATTTTGTCACGTGCTTGCTGATTGACTCCATAGCCTTATTTTACTAGGAATCTTTGCTGTTGGATTCAAATATTGTTATTGTACAAATGTTATCACATGTTGTAACTGGCTTATGGATTGACTAAATAGTTCGATCGTATCTGTAAATTTGCCTTGACTCCCAGTGAGAAAGGTGGGC